CAGCCAACCAGAAGGAAGGATATATGTTGGTTCCAGAAAGCCAAATCTATATCAAAGCCACACCAGTGCACGGCTATTTCTAGGCCACGCGTCACCGGATCCTTACGGCCAACGCGGTCGAATATTATATTAATACAGCACTGTAAAATAAATCAGCAATTACAGATGACTAAAATTGTATAGCTTTACATTACTAACCATAAATATCTTATAGACACAGTAGACACTAAAAAAATGACCCAGCACATTAAAGTACTTTCCCTGCAATGTCTGCGACCAGCGTTGACGCTCTTCCATATTTTTGAGTGAATTTAGTTCTAGAAAAATAGATCGTTGCAACTCTTCTAAGCCGTAAACTTCGAGTTTTAGCTGATTGATGTCTGCCAAAAAAAAAATATATATATATATAAGTTAACTAAATTGAATTTAGAATAGAATATCCAATTAATTTGATTACCCTCCCCAGCGATATTTGTACGATGCACTGCTGAGGTGAGCATATCCCAAATACGAGGCTTCGTGGGATGCTGTTTATTATGATTATAGACGGCCATTGCAATACGCCTCTTTTTAGCCGTCAACATGTCGATAGTTAGAGCCAAACGGCGTTCAAAACATATGATGTCATTTCGCGAAACGGGCCTGCAATAAAAAAAAAAGCAATTAGTAAAAAATCAGATAAGTCTACAGTTGTGTGTGGGCTCGATGGGTACTTGATAAAATAGGTCATGCTGGTGTATGGATAATTGACTGCACCAAAGCCGGAGAGAATGGCCATGACAGTTACACCAATAACACTAATGCGCGACACTCCCTGTTCGATTGTGAAGATGCCATGCGATGCGCTCAGCAGCGGGAATGGTTCACCGATGCGCCAAAGTCCGTAAAGGAAGACAAACCAGCAGAGTGTAGTCAAAATGCGGACCCATCTATCGGAGACTGCGGTAAGGAATTGAATTAATTGCAGTACGTCTTAAATTTCGTTAAGTATTTGCCTTACAGAAGGAAATGCTGTGTATCACAGAATAACAAATGTAGACAGGTATCACGGCGGTAACCATGACCAACAAAAGGGTCAGTCCCAGACGCCAATGGAAATAACGGGAACTTGATTCCAATACGTCAATAATTTCAAAAATAATTAACTCGAACATGGTAATGGACAACGCAAATGTTGAGGAGAATATCAACTGTACGGATATGTGACGGATCTCATAGTGTTTAAAAAGTTGCTTATTGAAGAACAGCCAGCCGCCGGCAAAGAACAGCATCTGGAAAACAAAATAAATGGCATTTGTAATACAAATCACTTAAAGCATGAATTTAGCCGCTTGCCTGCGACACGAACACGATTACACAGTCGCCCAGAAAACCCATTTTAGGCTGAGTCACTTCTTTTATGCTTTGCTTGTTATTATTGCAACGCTTAAGTGCATGGGCAGTGACATTGCTTAGTTGAAGATCACCTAACTCCTGTTCGTCAGCACTCGTTAAATGGAATTTGCCAACAAGCAATATAAACAAAAACGCCGATGCCCGGATAAGCGTTGCCAGACTGCTAAATGTTGTACGTTCAATTACAACATATCGATACATTTGAGTAAATTCTTCGTTGACACCGGCATTAACATAAAAAGCAAACAAAAATACTATTTTAATGTATGAAAATTAAAAATGCTTTATAAACCTAAAACCTGAAAGGTGTTATGTAGTCTATTTAAATTCATGTTTTTTCTATTTATACAAAATGTGAAATGCAATTGCTGCCACCTGCAACAGTTCATCTCTAATCTGGACTCGAATCAGCTGTGCAAAAATCACTAAAGCTGATTAGGCATTAGTAACAGTTGCTCGTTTAAGACAAACATTAAACAAATGTCACAATTATGTTAATTTTTAATCGCTATATGTAAAATACTTTTTCAAGTGCAAAAACACAAACGTAACTATGTCGTGTTATTATCGTCAATATGAAGACACAACGGTGACAATACCGAAATATTCTGTCGAAAGCTCAGCTGGGATTACGTATTATGACATCAAGGTATTAATTATAAATACATATTTTAAACGACACAATATTAATAATCGTTTTCCTCAACAGGTTCGTGTGGGCAATGTGGATTGGTTTGTGGAGCGACGATATCGCGATTTTGCCCAGCTGCACGATAAATTGGTCGAGGATATATCCATCAGCAAGAAATTGTTGCCGCCAAAGAAGGTACGCCCACTGAAAATGAATTAGAAACATCTCTTGGAAAAAATTCAATGTTCATACCATTTTGCAGCTCGTGGGCAATAAGCAGCCTGCATTTTTAGAACAGCGACGCGAGCAACTGGAAACCTATTTGCAAGAGCTACTCATCTATTTTCGCAACGAGCTGCCACGTCTGTTGGCTGAATTCTTGGATTTCAATAAATACGATATCATCTATCTGCTACAAGATCTTGCCAAACTATTTCACGAAAGTGGCGATGCGCTGCTGAGTGCCAAAAAGGAGTACAGTTTTTCTGCCCTCGAGGTAGGTTATAGCTACGAAAACTCAGTTTTGTTAGTTTTTGTTATATATTTGTTTTACATTGTAAATTCACATATTCAACATTATTTTATTATTATTTTTTATAATTTAACTTAACCACTTATTTTATGGTAGATGCACTACCAAACATGTATAAATTATTAGTTTCCGTAGTGACCATGCTCAGAGGTTGCCCTCTCGTTCACCAACTTGCACAAAGTCGCAGCATCAAGTACTCTTTAGGCGTATTGCACGTACCTTCGACTAGTTTCTCTCCTGAGCTGCAATATACTCTTCAGTCCGAGAGTCGCTTTGCAAGAATCCGAAAGCATTCCAATCTGGTCAAACGGCATTGTAGGTGGCTGTCGCGGCATGATCAAAGCAAACGCCTCTTTTTCAATTATTTGCTACTTGACTCCCGCATTACCGATGGACTGAGAAATCGAGCAAAGTGCATGCACAAGGTAGACGTGTGGCTCACATTTCTTCGCTCCATTTTCTATGTGGGCAAGGGAAAGGCAACGCGTCCATACGTTCACTTGTATCAGGCCCATAAATTATTACGATCTGGCAACCCAGTTGTGCTGGCTAAGGATCCCAAGTTGGCACTTATTGTACATCTTTGGCAGCAGAACCGTGGTGTTGTATTGTTGCGCAGCTTCAGTGGCATCTCATCAAGTGATGCACACACCCGGGAGGCAGCTATGATCGATGCCTTGGGCATAAATCATTTGACCAACCGACGAGTGGGCGTCTACTTCGGTGTGGCCCGCAGCAAATTTACAAAGGAGCAGCGTAGACTAATGGGAGTATTATTGCTCTACAGGCTGCTAATGGTCTACCTAAAGAATGAGGAGTGCGAACTGAGACCTGAGATTGCTTCCCTTAAGAGTAAACTTTTGTTAGAACTATTTGCTATTATCAAACAATGTTTTCTTTTGCCTTTCTAGATATATGCCATCAGTGAACGGCTCACCCTGCCCTGTCCGCCCAGTAATGAACAAGGTGGTAAGCTTGACTTTTCGCACGTACTGGACTTTTGCACGCAATTGGAGTCGCTGGTCGTGACGCCCGTCAAGGATAATGCCACCTTCGTTCAGGATTACAACACGGTGGATGTGCCAATTGGACGCAGCAATATCATTCCGAACCGATTGAGCTTCAACTTGAATGCATTCCGCAATCTCAGAACACTCAAATTCTCAGCTCTCTCCACCGAGAATATTGTGGACATAGAGCTATTAAAACCGACACTGCAAACGATTTGTGTGCACAATACCACAATTACCCACATCAATCAAGTGCTCCTCTGCGACAACCTGCATAAGAACTGCGATGTGCCCAGTCTTCTGCCGGACCCAGCAGCATCCAATAGCGAGGATGCTCTGCTCAATACAGATGCGTGGAATGAGCTGTCCGAGCTGGACTTAACGGGCAATCTGCTAACACAAATCGATGGCAGCGTACGCACTGCGCCCAAACTGCGTCGTCTAATCCTGGAGCAAAATCGCATTCGCACCATACAGAATCTGGCTGAGCTACCACATCTGCAGCTGCTCTCGCTGTCGGGCAATTTGATAGCCGACTGTATCGACTGGCATCTCTGCATGGGGAATCTTGTGACCCTTAAGTTGGCACAGAATAAAATCAAGTCGATAAGCGGATTGCGAAAACTGCTCTCCTTGGTCAATCTGGACTTGAGCTGCAATCTTATAGAAGAATTGGATGAGGTGGATAATGTTGCTAATCTGCCGCTCCTGGAGACGCTATGCCTCACTGGCAATCCTCTGGCGGGCAGTGTGGGTAAGTGTGTTCAGTTTTATAGTAGTCAGCTTAACTTGCTTAATGTGCAATGACTTAATGTGTACTAGATGACTTAAGCAACAAACTTGCAAATTCTGCTCTTCAAATTCAGTGCTTGCTACTAACCAAATAATGTTGGCAGCAAAATCACAAAGTTTGCTTGCTGCACTCTGTCGTCGACATCCATTTAAAATAGATTTCTTCCTCAGATTACCGCCCACGCGTTTTGGCGCGTTTCCATGAACGTGCTGCTGAGATTTCGCTGGACAACGAACCAGGCACGCAACAGGAGCTGGACACTGCGCTTGTACTGTCCGCTCTGTTGAAATCCAAACAGAGGCAGCAGAATAAATGACCAAGGATCAAGATCACAAACTCATACTCAATAATCAGACAGTTCCAAACATGTAAAAATCAATCTCACCAACAAAAGTATTTCGAAGATGTCAGTTGGCTCAGTCAGAGAGCAAACCAGTCTATTAAAATTCAACCATAATTTTTCAAAGGTTTCGCAATAACAATATAAACAGAAGCAGTAATAAGTAAATAGTAAGGCAACATCATTTTGTTCAATGTAATTTTAAAATGTACCACTGTAAATGTCCTGTACATACTGATTTAAAAATTGTTCGCAGTAATAGAAAACATTGTGGCTATTATATTTTTATTTTGTTTATTTTTTTATGAGTTGCATATTGACAATTACAGTTATGTTTTTAAAGTTTTACAAGCGTCGATCAATATTTACTGTGCAATATTTTGATGCTCATCTACAAAATTGTAATGTATGTAATTTAATACAATTTATATTCAACAATATACATGAATGTGTGTTTGTAAATTGGTGAAGTTATTTCTAGTAATTCTGCCAAGGCAGCGTATAATCGCGTGGTTTAAGCTTGCCCATCGCCTTGTATCATTGGGGGTGATGGTGATGATGATGTTGAAGATGCTGCTGCTGCTGCTGCTGTTGCTGCTGGGCATGATAGTGTTGCTGCTCGGCTGCGGCCACTGCATCGAACATGGGAGTGTGGACCTCACCGAGAAACTGGGGTGTTGGCGGCGCATTGGGTTCAGCTAGCTCACCAATTAGCGGCATATCAATATCTGTGGAGAGCGCGGTCTGGCCGTAGCCAGTCATTGCATATGGCTGCTGTTGGTGATGTTGCTGTTGCTGCTGCACCACAGACACCTGAGCGTAGTCGGCGGCTGCTTGAACTTGGGGATCCAGCATGACAGGCGCTGCCTCCATTTCGCCAAATTGTATTGGCGTTGCGTGCTGTTGGTGTGGGTGTTGCTGCTGTAGCTGCTGTTGCTCTTGTTGTTGCTGCTGTTCGGCCAAATGAGAGATTTGTTCGGGCACAGGCTGGGCCTGAATATATTCCCCTTGCTGCTGCTCATCTGTTTGCATATCCACTGGCGGGCCTTGAGGTGGTTCCTGATGATGTTGCATATGCTGCTGCTGATCGTCATGCGGCTGTTGGTGTTGCTGCTGCTGTTCCAGCTGTTGCTGTTGTTGTTGGCCATCTTCTGGTGTTGGTAGCATATCGTTATTGTCATCCATAGCATCATCGCCTATTTCACCGCCCTCTCCTGACGTTTCGCCGTCGCGACGAACCAGACCCAACATATCCAGCATATTACGCTTGACGGCATTCTCGTTGGCCGCCTCTACGCTGGGGTAACAGGTGCTCAGACCACAGCTAGCCAAATGCTGTGCCATTTTGTTGCCATTGCTGGTTGCAAAGCCACAGATGCAGTGCATCTCCTGCGGCATATTTACTTCCATGGCATCCACGAAATTACCATTGCAATCCACGCCATGCCGGAACTGAGCGCGCTCGCAGCATGTCTGATAATTGCACTTGACGCAGTGCAGCCAACCGCTGTTGAGCATTTAGGAAGTCAGTTTGACATCAATGATATGCTGACTAGGGGTACTTACGTGTAATGCGTCTCCTCACTGGCGATATCCGTGTTGCACTCTGCGCACGTTTTGCCCTCAAGGAAAGCAAAGAAAACTGGTCGCTTGTACGTCGAGAACGGCGGCTGCTCGCGATGATGAGTGCGAACCTTGGGCGGCGGAATCAGAAGAGAATTGTTCAACAGCATGCGAACTGGCTTGTTCGTCTTGGTCATGCTGACGTGATGCATGACTGAGTGCTGCTTCAAGTCGCCCTTCTCCAAGAAGCTCAGAGAACATTTCTGGCAGCGCAACGACGGATCACGCTTGTTCACATGCTCATCCAAATGCATAAAATAATGCTCAACACGCAGTTGATTGACCTTGCCCTTGTGCGTGAAGTAAAAGATCTACAAGAAATCGAATTAGTTTACTGTATGTTTGCAGAATGCTAAGTGGGAAGATTTCACTTACATCGAGACAGTAGGGACACTGCAAAAAGTTTTGGTTCTTGTGGTCGTCGTAAAAGTGACGCACCAGATCGCGATGCGAGGAGGAGCGATAGCCGCAGGAGTGACACCAGTACGGCAGTTCCAGAGTGCTGTGCACCTTCTGTAAATGAGCGGTAAGTAGATGCAGAGAGTTGTGGCGCTGCTGGCAAATCAAGCAATGATAGGATGGCGAGCCATCTGTCTTCGTTTCGGTAGGATGCATGATTTGATTGTGCTTGGCCAGCACAGATTCGGTTGCGTGTTTCTCCAAGCAAAACAGGCACTGGAACTGGTGTTGTTTGCCCTCGGGCGAGATGTGCGACACCAGATGAGTCTGCAGCTTTTCGTTGGAATCGTAGGTTTCGCCGTTCAAGCAAATTGGACACTCCACTGTTCTGGTTAGCTCCGCTGGATTAGCTCGGGGCGAGCTATACGGAAAATGCTCGTAAAACTCTTCGGTGCCATCGCTAATGCCGTAATACAGTTCCTCAAGGCCCTTGAGCTCGTCTTCCTCCTTTTTGATAACCACAGGCACCTTCTCCTTCTCCTCTTTTGTCTCCTTAGGCTTCTTAACCGGCACTTTGGCCGGCGGAGCAACCGGCGTATTCGTTTTAGCAGGTCCAGGTTTTAATGCCACCTTAGCGCCAGCCGCCTTGGTAGCCGGCTTAGCTACTGCAACAGGTGGAGGTGTGCTGACGGTGCCACGACGCTTGCTTCCCGCTGGCAAAATATCCTTTTCCTTTTCACGCTCCTTTTCCTTCTTCACTTTATTTGAATATTCCTTGCTTGCATTCACGTAGTCTGAATCACTGATAGCTACAAAACGAGAAGATAAGGTCGATTAAAATTATCCAACAATTAACAATCTCTTTCATTGCGAGCCGCTCTTAAGGATATGGAAATTTTGTTTAGCCTCAATATTTCGGGGGAATATTTGAAATCATCATGACCCACCATTATAGTTGAATATTATTAATATGTTAATGCCGTTGTATACGTTATATCACTCCAAAAATCATAATGAATGCAAATAAAAAGTACCAGTTTTACATTGTTTTGTATATATTCATATTCAGTTTCAGTTATTGGTTTTTATTTCGTTTGCTGCATTTTAGAACAAGTTAACACACTTTAAGAATGCCAAAAGTAAAATTATATGTAAATCAGTTTTTAAATGCTGACTCATTTAAAAATATTACGAATATAATTAAATTTACATACATGGTAAAAGAATTTTTAAAAAAAGTTACGCTCATGAACATTCGATGTTATAGATTGTGAAAAAAAAAAATATTAAAACATTTAAATATGTGAATTGCATATCGTGTGGACAATGAAAATTACATTAGTTTTGGAGTGACAAAACGCATAGGCATTACAATATAATTCGGGTTTGGCATTTTCCGCAGCACCTGCTGCCCTATGATTAAATTAAACTATTACAACTAATCACGGCCTACATACTATCTATTGATGATTTACTAACGTTTCTTGAGGCGTTTAGGAGTGGCATTGGCCGGTGTCTCCTTGTAATTGGGAGGCAGTACGCTCCAGTCTTTAAACGGATTCGTTGCAACCTGTTTAACAGAATTTTATTATAATAATTGAAGAATTTTATTGTATTTAATGGTAAGTTTACTGATACCCACCTGATACAAGCGTTGTGTAATGGTCTCATTGGTGGTCACGCGTGTCTGCTCGGCAATGTGTATGATGATATTATTGAATGCTTGTAGTGCATACGTTCCAAAAGATTCGCGCCAGACCAGCTCATCGAGGAACTGTTGTATCATCTGGCGCGACAGCAAGGAAAGGGTATTCTGGAACATGCGCGGCACAATGCGACGTAAGTATTCCATGACCGCCGAATTATTATGCTTTGCTGCATTGTCAGTCGCTGCAGCCTGTACAATGTTCTTGAAGCCCATGCTAAACAGAGTTATCTTATCTACAGTCAGATCTATGCAAATTGTGCTGTCCTTGTGCACCCAACGGGAAAGCGGCTCTAAAATAGCCTGAATGGGAAATTGAAATATTATTAAACAGGTTGTCAAATGGAATTAATATATCTTTGTACCTGAAAGCGTTTCTTATAGTTGCGATCACCATCAGTAATTGGCTCTACGGCACGCAGCCGTATGGATTTATCCGCATAGTCGTAGACGCCAAGGACCTCCACCTTCACTTGACGTTGTGCGCCATCCTGCGACGTGGTGCCCAACGAGATGACGCCCACCTGCAAGTACAAAACAAATATAAATTAATCAAATATTTCCACGAGGAAAACTGCTCTAACGCACCTCCACAAATTTGCCGGGACCACCTAGTTTTTTGCACTTTTGATGCACCGCTAGGGTGCAAATAGCACGTAGCCACGTGTAAATGCCTTTGATGTAGACGCTGTCTACCTTCACCCACTGCACAACGTTCTGGATGCTAGTCTGGCAGGCCCAGTGGTATATAAGCTTGAGCAGAAATGTTGGCGGATGCTGAGCCCCTTCGAATATCGAATTGTTGAACACCGAGACGAACCGATATGGGCAGCATTCGCTGATCCACACATAGCCGCCAGTATACGGGAACTTGCTGATATCAGAATAAACGCCTAGGATACATATAATGAATGTAAGTTATGCTATTAGGATGTTTTCCAGAGACGTGATCAGAAAGATCACAATGAATTCTGCTTACCTAACTTGAGTTCGTTATTTCGATGATTAATGCAGTGCTGCTGTGCACGCAGCAGCCCTTCTTGAAGCAACCATTCGCAGAACTTATTGGGTGTCAGCATTAACACGAGTTTGACCTTAGAATCCAGTTTGCTGCGCGTGGCTGCCATATCTTTAACCTTGAGGAATGGCTTTGCCAGCACAACCAGCGATGGATATGTTTTGCCCTGCATTTTTGTATCCTTGCCATCCTTAGCATCCTTGCCATCTTTGCTCGCGCTGTCATCGTTGCTGCCCACTACCAGACCACCTACTGAATTAACCTCTGCAGGACGGAAGTTCTTGGGCGGAGCTTCGCCAGAGCCTAATAACTTGCCACTAGATCCCAAACTGGATCCTTTGCCGCCTTTGGGTTGTGGCGAAGACTTCCCAGAGGGCGATACAGCAGCACTTGCAGATTTTTTTCCTGCTTTCGATGTGGCCGGCGCCGCTGCTGCAACAGCCTTTTTACCGGCAGATAGGGCTAAACGCTTAGCCAGCGGCACATCGTCATCGCCTTCGTCTGACGACTCCAAGTAGGCAATGTTCGAGGACAGACGAGGTCGACCACGCCCCCGCCCTGAGCCAGTGCCACCAGTAGCAGCAGCTGGAGCTGGGGGTGCTACTTCTGGCTTTGGTGGCTTCTTTGGCAACGTAGCCTCCTTCAGCTCCTGCAGCACCTTACCTTTGAAGGAGTATGCCTGAAACACTTGACCATTAAACAGCTCCTTGCCCTCATTGGCACTGACGGCGGACTTAAGCGCATTTTTTACAGCGTTGTGCTCGTTTGTAATTTTCTCGTAATAGGCTAACTGTGCTGGTGATAGCTCCTCGACCCAGCATTCCATATCGAGTGATATGTCACTTCTAGTTATGCGCGTCATCTTTCCCAACGCACTGGGCACAATATTGCAACGTTATTTAGTCAAAATAATGCTCGAAATAATTTAGACTATACACTTTTTTCGCCGAGGCTGTACCGTGGATGTACCTGCGTGACGAGTGTGACCAGATTTACAAAATCCTTTAAATATCGAAAAACATAATAAGAATAACAGGGCTGCACTGAACAGCATAGAGTGACCATAAAATTCGAATTGAACATTATTTTAAATCTGTCACAGTAATATCAACGTTATTGGTGAAACAATTTATATTTATTTACATATGTATGCATTGCATGCATATTTTTTTTACGCCCCAAACTGTCCATGGGTTCATAATTTTGCAACTCTTTGATTGATCGGCAGCTAAATGTAATAAATAATAT